ATGGTGTTTGCCTGAACTACTGTGAGGCGCTCTTCCTCAGTAGTGGAATAATGCGCCTCGGCATGGAGTAGGGAGTGGCTAGCGTAAACTAGCTACGACTCTTTTGATGCCCTCTTGATGCTGAACGAGCACTGCATCGAGACCAACGTTACTGGCGTCCGCATGCACCTCCGTGTCAGTATCACCGTCGAATTGAGTGAGAAAGGGCGCTGATTGCATGTGCTGTCGCAGTTCAGCAAATGTTTCTTGTTGCTCGTTTGACCCCACAAACGGTGAGTCGTCCCTTGTGAGGCGAGTTAGGGGTTCGACTCTCTGTGAAAAGCTGTTAATGAACCTGCAACACACAAACCAAGAAAGCACTGGAGGGCCTTCTTATCGTCAGGAGCTGGAAATTCGGCAACAGCGGCAAGCTTGTCCGGATCGGAAGGGACTCCTTCGGCACTAACTACATGTTCAAGAAGTCTGAATTCCTCATGGCAGAAATGAGACTTTTGTGGGCTTAGTGTTAGTTTCGCAAATCACATAGTCTCCAGAACACGGGTCAAGCGGTGAAGATGCTGCTTGAACGGGGCAGAAATGACTATCCCATTGTCAAGGTAGACAAGGCGAGTCTGCCACTTCAGCCCTGTGAGAACAGTGTCCATCAGTCGCCTGAATGTTGTCGGTGCTGAACACAAGCCTAATTGAGGCACTCTAAATTGGTAGAGGCTGTCTAGAGTCACGAAGACTGTTTTCTCGCTGTCTCACTCACCTACCTCACTTGCCCAATACCCACTTTGCAGATCCAGAAAATATAATTATTGGGCATGGAAAAGTATATCCAATAATTAGTCGATAAATGGCAGTAGGTAGGCGTCCTTTTTGATCACGTTGTTAGGCTTCTGGTAGTCGACACAAAAGCGCAGTGTCCCGTCTTTGTTTTTCACCAGTAGAAGAGACGACCATTGACTCTTGGATGGTTCGATGACATCTTCAAGCATCTCTCGGATTTGCGTACGTATCGCTTCGCGTTCTTTTATCGACACGCGGTAAGGATGCTAGTTGATTGGGCGTGCGTCGTCATACATGATTATCCTGTGCTGTGTAATGAATGTCTGACGCATCCTTGAAGAACCTGCGATGCGAGACCGCAATTCAAACAAGAGCGTGCGCAGTGCAGTCTGTTTACTGATAGACAGCGCAGGATTGATGTCGATTTGACCGAATGCCGTGTTACTATTTAAAAGTTCTTCTATTTCGTTGGCAAAAGCTATCGAAGTGCCGCGGAAAGAGATGGCGGTGCTTGTTGCTAAAGTCGGTGATGCTGTCTGCGTGACGCTGTCTGCAGAAATATGAACTACGTCAAGACGCCACTCGTCACCCTGTACATCAATTGCTCGGTCGGCTAAAAACATGACACGACGCCCCTGCAGGTCAATATCAGCACCATACTCTTGCAAAAAGTCAACTTCGAGAATACCGTTGCGGGAGCACTCGCGTAAGACAAGGTAGCTGGCGTTGAACGTATATCTGTGGATCTTAACTTTAGTAGTGCAGGTGCCCAGCGGGGTAAGACCCTGGCCGCCAGCTGCCTAAATCTGCGAGTTGTACCACGGCGTGATTACTTTCTTCAGCAGTGAAGCTAGTTTCCCACTCAGTATTGAGTAGTTTGTGGGGGTGTAACGGTACGGGTGTAACCGCGTAACGATCAACCGCGTCACTGGTATAATAGGGAAAGCTGGTAGTATTGTGCAGGATCGTTACGTCTCTGAGTCGGTAGGAGGTATTCGGCACTTCAATGTTCAGTGACCCCGCCCCCAGAAGTCGCTCTAGTTAGTTTTCCCGGTGGGGGCTTGGGAACCGTGCGGTACAATACCGCTGCGGCAGCATTGAAAATTGCCTCTGTGACGTTGAACGCGACTGGGGCGCGGCGAACAGTGAAACTGGGCACTGGGCGAGGTAGTTTTCAATGTTGCGGGATCGCTGGTCGTACCGCAGTGGCGGCGAGTGCGCAGAGAAGCCGCAAAGTCCAAGGTGGTACAATTGATTTGCTTCACCGCAGTGAACGCAGAGGCCCGCTGTTCGGTGCACGCCAGGTACCTGATTTTATAGGGGACCTGCGCCTAACATCGATGTAATGAATTGGCTTCTCCGAATAAGGGCTGGCTGGGGTGGCACAGGTATATGGTGGCGACGCATAACTATCGTGGTAGTACTCCATTGGCAGCGCCGACTGGAGAGACACGGTGGGTGGAGCGCGGACGAAAAATGGCGGATCGGCCGCAGGTCGCTTCAAGGTTTCTGCGTAGGTGGTCGTCTCACGGCGGAATTCAGTGAAAGCTAGCGCGGAGCTGTCAGGAGGCAAGAGGCCACGTAGTGCCTAGTGCCGCTTATCTCTGATAACTGCTGCAATTGAGCCAGACGCAGGATTAGGTGTCACGCCGGCCTTCTGCTGCTCTTCGTGCAGCGCGCAACGAATAAGCTCTCGTATTCTGTCGTTGGTTCCAGTTGTGGCAAGAATCGCCGCAGCGCACATGCCATTTACTTGTCTGTCATACATCCTGGAACGTTGATGCAGCATCTTTTTCGTGGTCAGAGCCTCTGTGAAAGACTCCGCGTCGGCCTTAAAAGGGCTCTGCATGAGGTCGGCAAAGTGCTCCACTTTAACACCACGCATCAGATGGCGCAACTTCTTATCCTCCGCTATTCGTGGGTCTGCTCTTCGGAAGAAGCGTGTCACGCCTTCCGCGTAAGCAGTAACCGTTTCATTTTGCAAGTGTACTTGGGCCTGGATCGCTTTTTTCGCTCGTGCTTGACGATCGGCACTTGTATAGGTCTCCAAAAGCCTACGACGGGACTCGCGCCAGAATGTCAGATGCTCCTCGTGATTTTGCTACTACTTACGCACCCCGTCCTCCAGGTACAACTACACACGTTCCAGTTTAGCCGCGTCTTCTCATTGATTTAATGCGGCTACGCGCTCGAAATCGACCAACCAGTCTTCGACGGGCTTGCGTTCCGTGCGTGGAATTTTGTAAGGACCCGGTGGCTCTCCAACGCATATCGGTTCGAAATGGTGGTTCCCGTGTCGGTTCAAGCTTTTTTCCCGACACACTCGTCATACCTGTTGAAGTGGTGGGAGCCATGTCGCTGACTTCCGGAGGCAATCTTCTGATTTGGCGGCTGACGCAATACACTGGTGTGTCAACTTGGACTAGACTCGTAGGCCGACTCCCTAGAGGGTCGGCAACATCCGCGAGGGCTACTCAGCAGCTCAACCAGTTTGTCACGAGTCTTCCGAAGTGCAATGGTCTTTTAATGAGCTAAGATGTAGCCAGCTCTTGAAAAGCGCGTCCGTCGCAGCTGGATAATGATGATGATGATGATGATGATGATGATGATGATCATCCTTGTTACTTTGGCGCACACCCACAAAGGGGGATCAGCCAAAAACCGGGCGGCAGGATCTTAAGTAAAAGGCTTATGTTTTTTCAAACACAAAGTCGTTTTGGACTAAAAAAATTATATAGAAAGAAAAGCCAGAAATCGAAAAAGGAATATATGTCAGTAGGGATCGATGAATGCGAATCAGATGCGATTTCAGACAGAGGTAATGGTGGGTATAATACGAATGATATATATGGATCTAGAGCGAAGAAGGCGCATGCGACCTTCTTTTCTTTTTAGGGTGAGAGTCGCTTTTGCTCCCAACTCATTACATGTAAGGGGCAATATCGCGTGAGTTGTTAGTCAATAAACAGTCGCGTTTTTACGCACATCTGTCTCCTGAGTTTATACGTGCGCGTCATGCTCACGCAGCAAAAGAACGAGCTCAAACAGCATCACTATAAAGAGAATAAAGGGACCGCGCTGCTGATTCTGAGTGACGATACTTTTTTATACCACGGCGCACAATTAAAGGCCAACTCCGGGGATATCTCGACCATGTCAAGGTAATCGTGGTTCTATGTTCTCGAGACACACTTGTTACGAGCCCGAACGCCTAAATGCTCAGGTTTTTTGAAAATAATCTTTAATATACAAAAGGGCTCAATAAAGAAACCGAAACCCTACCGGGCATTCTGTCTGCGTATGGCGTACTACATGGAAATAACCGGAGGCCGTATACTGTTTTTGCTGGCACAGAGTATTGAAACTATGAAAGCCACACCAAGGAAGCGCCGGCCAAACACCACACAGGAAAAAAGAAAGCTTCCCGTGCTAATTCTATGCCCAACACCGCCACCATCGCCTTGTAGCCTGCAGATCAAACGCTGTAGCGGCGAAAGTAGCGATTCCATCGGCTGCGTCACTTCCACGGACATGCCAAACATGAAGTCACACAGACAGTGATGACAATAAATTTGGCAAGCGAAAGAAGGTTTTGATAAAATCTTTAAAATTCACTTGCAAACAATCAGTGAATCTCTCAAGCTTGTATTTAGCATAAATGGCGGAAAAGTGCGAAGAATGTACCGAGTGAATTTCATTCAGATTCATTGACTTCGAAAAGCCGCTGGAGTTAGCTTTAAGTTAGCGGCAACTCCAGACAGGTTCGCTGTTAGTAAATTACAATAATAAAAGGAAACGTCGACTCCTCGCAAAAACCAGCAGCGCAGTACGCGAGAAATGACGGCCTCTGCCTGTTGTTTGATTGCGAAATCTTTATTACGTCTATTGCGAAATGAAGGAATTTGGAACCGCATTATTTTGGGCTCCGATCTTTGAGCGATAATCTTGACAGTATTTCCATCTCGCGCCAGACAAACTGTGATCTTGTTGCGAGAAACTTCATAGCTGTGATGCTCGAGGCCAAGGATTGGGCATGTAGTCTGTGCTGGCAGTACACACTACAGCACAGACTAGATTCAGCTAGTGTTTCTGTCATTTTTTGGACCCCACACTTATCATGAGTCACTGCAAATAAAATGTACGATCAAAGTTTCATCTCACTGCAATGGTGACGCTAACTGTACTAGAATGGGAGCATTCAAGCTCAGATATATCTGTCTTTTTTTCAGAAACTGGACCTGAATAATGACGGCATCGTTACGTATGACGAATTCATCGAAACATGCTTACAGGTGAGACATTCCTTTTCAGTGCTACTGGTAAGTGACCAACAAATTAACTTTACTAGGCTTATTTGTGCTACTTACGCGCATTATTGTGGATTGAATGTGGTATAACACTATTAAAATATAATAAGACTGACAACAAACTATTGCACAGCTTTCAGGTAGGGTTCTCCGTCGTAAGCCTCTACGAATGTTTTCGTTCAAGCTAACAGAATAACTTCCGTTTATACAATAAAACGCCACCTGAACAAGACAGTGTAGAATACTAACATGACCATTTCGGGTCGCGTGCGCTTTTTGTACGCATTGCTTTCCTTTAAAGTCATAATAGACAGACAAGTCTGTTAATGAGAGGGCATATGTAGCTGCGAAGATTAGAGGTAAATCAATGTTTGAAATAAGGTATCGAAGCGATCTCACAGCTACCGGTATCTTGATGTGTTCGCGAAAAGGAGCGTGACGGCACACAACGTCGATTTCATCGATGGATAGGCTAATTGAGTCGACGTCAAAACAGCAATTATGAGGCTGCGAATGAAGTGAAATCGGGCAATAGTAATATATTGCTCACTTGGATACTACCACCTACGTTTAGAACACCAAATACTACCAATCAGGGAAATGCCCATAATACGCTCAACCTATATTTATAGCCCTCATAGACCACGAGAAGACATTTTATTCAGTAGAGTATGAGCCGTCAGGCAGGCACTGCGGAAGCAGGGCGTCGATAAGCATACATAGACTTCCTGGAAGAAATACTCAGTGGATCAACTGGTACCATAGTGCTCCATAAAGTGAGCGACAGAATGCTAATAAACAAGGGTGTAAAATAAAGGGATACGATCTCTCGAGGTCTATTTACCGCGTGCTTACAGGAGGAGCCTACAGTGGGAAGAGTTAGCGATACGAGTTAATTGAGAGTACCTTATAATGAGATGCAATGACAATCATGCCAAGGTAAGTTTAGGCGATTGATTATATATGGTAACTGCGAAGTAAATGCGAAAAAAGAAAAGTGGATGCAAAGATAACTTGAAGTGGGCAGGGACTGAACTTGCGACCTGGCAATAAGGCGTCCAATGGTCTACCAACTCAGCGGCCATGGCGGCTATCTCCCATCAACTTTATTGGGTATATCTGTGAAATAAACGTGAGGGCGTCAGTCAGCACCGCCTGTAGCCATGACGGCGAGTATGGAACACTTTTTCTGTCTGTTTTGGCGTCAACTAGCACATGATCTCATTACGAACTTGCAGCTGACCAATAATCCTTCGTATACTACCCTGAAGACACCAAGTATGCCAGAACGAGACCCTCGCTAGGATTGAAGGAAAGAATTGTACACTTAAGGGCTCGTTTTCTTTACTAGATACAATACCAAACAGATCAAGAAGACACTGAGGCGCAAAAAATGTTGCACACTCACCGTCATGGCTACAGGTGGCGCTGACTGACATTACTTCGTTTACTTCACATATACAATCAATATAGTGAATGGGGCGATAGCCGCCTTGGTCACTCAGTTGGTAGATCATCAGACGCGTTATTCAAAGGTTGCAAGTTTCTTCCCTGTCCTCAACAAGTTATTCTTTTCATCCACTTTTCTTTTTTTTAAATTTGCATTACAATTACTTTGTGTGACATCCCCTATACCTTTCTTGTTATGATTGTCTGTTATATCTCATTACTATTGGGTCTAAACATAAAGACGAGCCCTTAATTGTATGCTTCTTTTGTTCATTTCGGAGAGTACCTTGGTAACCTGCGCATCGCCGGTGACAGTAAATTGCTGAGAAATTCAGGGGACGAATTTTATTTCATGATGACTGAATTAGACAAGGAGTGCAGAAATGTAGGTCCCAGATTTACTCTGCAGAACACGAAAGTAATGTATAGCAAACTCAGAAGAGTGCAGCGCTTTGAAATTGGCAGCAGTGCACTTGAAGTTGCAAAAGATTATGTCTACTTGAGACATGTACAAGCGCGGAGCCTAACCACAAGGTTAAAGTGACTATAGCCGTGTACAACTTGAGAAGGCAGGAGAGGCCCCACCCAGATGACCGAAGCACAGCAACCAATTCACTCCGCGACTACAGAAATACTCCCACTCAAAAAATGTGACTGCTTTTAAAACGCGTATCTGTCGCTCTAAATGAGATTTGTGTATCGCGACGAGTGCTTTCGCAAAACTGTAAGGATGGAAATGCTACAGCACAAGCCCGATTGCGAGATGAAAGTAACTCCTTGCCTTCCACAGCGCTGGGCGTCGTCTGCTACGGAACAAGAGTGACGGCACCGTGCGTGTAATTGTAAAGCAATCGCTGGTTTTATAGCATAAGAATCATATGTATTTTCGTGTGTTTCCACAAGCTTTATTTTCAATGTTCCAGGCTATCTTGTCGGTTGCGAGCCGGCAATCTCGTACGTTCACGCACAATGGCGCAAGGCGTTTCATGCCAAAGTTATTCAATTATACAAATTGCGAAACTGCGTTTCGAAATGCAGACATGCAGTTGGCCCAGTTTTCCAGGAATTAGCTGACGGTCGCACCACCTAGTAGCGGCAACACAAAACAGAAATAAAGCGTTCAGTAGTGGGCGTGCATATCAACAGGTGGCACGACAATCTGCTCACTATTGACAAGGGGGCCGATGACGTGTTCGAATTTTGAGACATTGAGCCTATGGAGAGTTTCGCAACTCATATGGCTGAATAACTCTGTTCCGTGGAAGTTGTCCGCCATGGAGCCCAGTGAGGTGAAGTCGGAACGCGATCCTTTCCTGTCGTACGAGCCTTGTGTCGCCTCGATAGCCACATTACCAAGGAACTTTAGCAAGAACAAGAGCCGCCACATCCTGAACAGTGATCCACGCAACATGATCTTCTACTACTACACGTACTGGCGCCACAGGAAACCTGAACGCAGTGGGGATAGCACGAGCAACTTTGTCGCCGACATGCTCTGTGTTGGTGAAAAGACTCTGTTCTGGTTGTGAGAGGAAATTAAAGGTTCGCATTTTTGGAGGGCAAACTGACGACGCTCTCGCTATAGCGCCCACACAATGCGGTGGACAGAAGACGCAGCGCGATGTTTGACAGCTTCACGTTGTGCGCGCTGAGGCCATGTGTGCACATTTTGTTGCGCCGCAACGACATACCGATGGTCGAGAAGATAACTACCCAGTTCTCTGAGCGTATAAAACTCCCATCGCTAAAGCGGTGTACTGTGCGTCACCTGCTTGCCGATATCAGCGTCAAGTATGAAAAGAGAAGCCGCAACTAGCTGCGCATCGACCGGGACGACATCACCTATTGGCGGAATCGCTACCTCCATTACGTAAGGAGTACCATTCGTCCGACCACTTTTTGACGTAAAGTTTCGTCGGAAAACACCTAGAAATGAGAACAAGGAGATGTCGTATAACGAGACATTTTTTATCTATGAAACAAAGCACAAGAAGGAAAATATATCATGTCTCAGGTGCAAAAAATATCGTACTATTTGTAAGTGCGAAAGGATATATTGCAAGATGTCTCTTATAGCCTTCACAGCATTGCATTTGATTTATGAAATACATTCGTAGAACACATGGACATGAGCTCAGAGGTGTACCTATTGTTACGTGATTTCGTCTGACTGAAAGAGGGCACAGTGGGGCATACCCAAGAAAGGTGCCTCAGACTGATAGTGAAGAAGTAGACGTTGTCGGTGGGCTGCGTTGTGGCTGCGGACTCACAACTGTGATTTTCCATGTAACATTTTGGTGGAGGTGCTGAGTGCTCTTCTGACAACGGAGCTACGAATTGGACGCCTCCTTAAGTCTGCTACCATGGCTCCGCGTGAGGATACGGCTTCGCCACCTACTTCAGCAACGACCGCAACCAGGTACGTCGCCCTAACGCAACCCCGTGATCCCGGTACCTTTACTGGAGAGGACAACGCAAATGTGGACAAGTGGCTTAGCATGTACGAGCGCGTCAGCAAGGAATATGGCTGGGACCCAAACGTTATGCTTGCAAATGTCATTTTTTATCTTGACAAGACCCCTCGCATCTGGTTTGAGACCCATGAGCACGAAATCACAAGCTGGGAAATGTTTAAACAACAGCTCCGCGACCTCTTTGGCAACCCGTTTGGTCAACAGCTTGATGCCCGAAAGCAATTGGCTGTACGTACACAGACGACCACTTAGGCCTACTTGGCTTATATTCAAGACGTCTTAGCGTTGTGTCAAAGGGCCGATCCCAACATGACTAACGCCGAGAAGATTTTGCACGTTTTAAAAGGAATCGCCAACGATGCGTTCAGCCTGCTTGTATTTACCAACGTAACGATAATCGACGCCGTGATCAAAGAGTGCCGCCGTCTCGAGCAGGCGAAGAGTCGATGCATTTCGCAGCAGTTTCAGCGCCTACCCAACACCGCGGCAACGTCGTCTTGCGAAGCCACTCCTTGTCATCTGTCTACAACTGAAGACGTGACGCGCATCGTCCGACGTGAACTCGAGGCCGCTTACCCGGCTGCCAACAAACCGACGTTGTCCGACGCCTCAACGCCAGCTGTCACCTTGATCCAGGCTGTTGTCCGCCAGGAATTTGCTAACCTTGGTATCCTGTCCACTGCACTCACCCTGGATAACACTGGTCCCTCGATAGCTTCTGTGGACATGAGACGTCGCCGTCCGTACTCTATTCGAACCAGGAACCCGTCTGAATGGCGAACAGCTGATGTTATAAGCCGATCTGCTTCCGCTGTGGTTGCGCTGGACACATCGCTCGTTACTGCCACAGCCAATGGCCATCTATGTGTTCTGCGTCGTACCCCACTTACAGTAACTCATTCCATCCACCAAACCATCGTTATCCGACCCGCACTGAGTCTACAGCATTTACTGCCTCTGAGGACTACGGCCACCCTGTCCCGTCTTCGCCACCGCCTCAAAGCCACCCTTCTCGTTCAAATACGCGTCGCCGCTCTCCCTCGCCAATGTTTAACCGCCGCATGTCCCCAGAAAACTAGGCTGCGCAGCTTCTGGAGGTGAAGCTGCCCTGTCGACCTTACTCAAAAATCCTCTGTTGCCCTTACGTTTGAACCGTAACAGCCTAGAAGTATATGTTGATGGCACACTTGTTGAAGCTTTGATAGATACGGGCGCTCACGTCTGTATTATGAGTCGGCGTTTTCGTCGTCGCATGAAAAAAGTCCTCACGCCCCCCTCGACCAGTGTCGTCCAAGTTGCAGATGGTGCAACAATCCCTGTCGTCGGTATGTGCACAGCTCAACTTACCGTAGCCGGTCATCAAGTGGTCGTCCTTTTTACCGTGCTTGCAACCTGTCCCCACGACCTCATACTATGCCTCGATTTTCTTGCCGCCAATTTCGTTCTGATTGATTGCTCCGCTGGTGTGCTCCGCCTTGAACTCTGCCACAAATCAGTGCCACCCCGTACCAACCTACATGCTGATTACAATGCAGCGACTTTGTTCGCCTGCCCACCAAAACTGTGACGTACGTCAATTTTCTTGTTCATCAGCTGTGCCCGACGGTGACTATTACGCTACGCCTCTCACCGACGTACTCCTTGCGCACAATGTTGCAGTGCCCTATACGGTGCTCAGCATCACAGATAACAAAACTTGTCTACCTCTTGTCAATTTCGGGTACGTGAATCATGTGCTTCCACAAGGCATTTCTGTGGCCCACCTGTGTCCGTTGCTCGACTCACAAATTGAAGTGCTTGCCTTAGACACACTTGTTTCACCGCAGCGCACATCACTCGCAACACATGCGGGCAGCCGTCAAATTGTTGACATGATCGCCACTGATCTTCCGCCTCCACAAGTTGAAGCCCTACAACATCTTCTCGAGGCCTACCAGGATATTTTCGATTTTGGCGACCGACCTCTTGGACAG